AGTACTACGTTGCATCAGCCTTTACAATAATTTTTCTTACAATGGTTTTAATTCAAACAATCTTACATATTATTTTAACAATTCAAGTAAATATCAAATTGCATTATAGTTATTATTTCAATATAATAACTATAACTAACGTATAGTTGGTTTTATTATTTAGGTTTATAATCATTACAAAAGTTTGGAATCAAATTCATTTTTTTCACTTAATAATAACGTTGGTAGTGGTAATGATGGTAGTAGTGGTTTCATAATTGTTGGAAGCGTCATTAACAATCCCAATCCTAATACTGGTGGTCGTGATGGCTTTACCACTGCTGGTTACACGCTTGGCAGTGGTCGTCGTGTTAGTAGCGGAAATTAACGATTAATTCGTAAAAGTAAGTGTACCCTGCAATTAGTAAAGTTGGGGATCATCATCATTAAACCTAAAATTCGTTTACTAACATTAATAATGATGATAGATATATTAAGTAATGTAATACAAAATACCTCAAACTTTAAATATATTAACCTTTGATTAATGTGTATCGGTGTTGACAATCGTACATTCGAAGATAGTAGTAATAGCAATAGAGTGCGAAATTCCTTTTAATTGTCTAATTTCATTTTCATACATCAAAATATGTGAATTTCAAATAGACTATATAAAATAACTTTTAAAGAATAGTTTTTATTACTTTTTTAAAAACAATATAATACATTTATATACAGTATATATAAAGCTCTAATATTTTTGGTGTAACCGATTTATTATCCCGTCCAGGATTATGCCCTGATGCTTTTTTTTTCATAATTTTTGGGCAAATTCCGACCAAAAATTAATATTCAGAAAAATTAAAATACATAAAATTTAATTTTTCTTTTAAAGCTGTGCGTTTATCAGTTAATATACCAATAGTTATACTAATCATTTTATTTTTTATTAAATTTTTTAATTTCTGTACTTCAAATTCATAACTCATTGCAAATATTTTTCTCAAAGTTGATTTGAACCTACAATATAACCTCCTAGGAAATAATAAAAATAAAAATTACATTAAAATATTCAAATTAATTTATTTTAATTTTTTTTGATATGAAAATTTTCTTACCATTCTTACAATATGAATTAAAAAAAGTCTTTAATTTATCCAGAGGAATATCAGCTTTAGTAAATGCTTCAATAATTGCAATATTGATTTTGTCATGATTATTATTAGTGAAAGAAAGCAAAGAGCTTTGTAAAGGTTGTGGATTATTTTTATATTTTTGTTCAGCAGCTTTATGTTTCGTTGATTCTATATGGTTATCAACAATTGATTTTTTTTCATGATTTATAGTATGGTTACAAAAATGACAATATTTTTCCCAGTTTCAACGTAAAAAATGATTATTATAATGACTTTTTTTCCTCAAACGTTCTATGGTTGGCTCGTTCTAAAGACCTCCTATTGCTGCGACATGCGGCCAAATTTCAAAATAGTAATTTTGTAATTCGTTTCAAAAATGTAATAAAATTTTTCAAAAAATAGGACTTCACGTGATTTTGGTTTTTCTTACTGCCAAATTTAGATACGATGGTCAAGAGCTAGTCTAAATTTGGTAATGTTTTTCCTAAATTTAGAAATGATCATAGTGGACAAATTCCTCGCGGGCATAGTAAAGTACATGTTTTAAAAAAGAATAGAACTCTACAACAAATAATTTTTTTGAGAAAATCTCTCTATTACATTAAAACTAAAGGCATATTCTATCAACTAATAGAGCTATTTTTTAAAAAGGTAGGACAGAAAGTGACTTCTATACTTTTAAAATTTGCCCAAAATTTAGGAGGTCTTTAGACCAAGCCAACTATATTGCATAATCATCACCGATCACTTACATAAAAGTAAATTATACGCGTAGATTATGTGATTATGCCAAAAAATGGTCAAAAATTAAGAAGTATGCAGCGATTTATACGAAAGCATAATCCTGGACACCCTATCCCGTGGAATGCCTATCCACCAAAAAAACGGCATGAATAGATGAAGAAGATCCACTACATCCATTGGCTGTATAGATCATTTCATAACCTGAACGTTTGCAAAATTTAGTTTCAACAAATCAAAGAGATGTAATAGTCAATCTGGCAAAATTCACTCGACAAGAAACTGTGTTTACCGGCTAATAGCTTTATGCAACAGAATTTCAATTTCTTTCGGTTTCCTTATTTTTTAAAAAAAAGACTTATTGTGGCTGTTGATCGGATCATATATGTATTCCAACACATGTAAATAGAAATTTATGGTAAATTTAGTAATAATCGAATAACTTTAAATCGTGATGACCTTTTTTTATTTCATAATAAAATTGAAACAAAACTTTTCATAGTTTATTGTTCAAGTCTTATATAATAAAGTTACAGGCTTTTCGCCCTAGCCTATTTGGTTACAAAGTTTATCTATTAACGATTTTTTCAATGTGCTATACTGTATATACATATAAATTTTTTTTATTTAGCAAGAAAAAAACTCACTGTAATCTAAAAGCTTAACCTATTTACTCTAAAATTTCCCTTGGTTCATGTTTGTCTGATACAGTTTTTATTCTATTTTTTAAAGATAAAAAAATCTATCAATCTTTTTCTGACAACTGGGGTGTCAATTTTTAAAGGTCTTTTGAAGAAAGCCTGTTTGTTTAAAGTCGCTTCTTCAGGATAAAGAGTATTCAAACTGTTCGTATTATTAACATACTCATTAAAGTTTCAAAATCACATGGATGTTAGGCAGATTATTATAATTTTCACCCTTTAATTCCCACGTTTCTTCTATTGTTGATGTTGTTTTTAGACAATGGCGTTGATAAGGGTTTGGTTATGTTGATGAGCTGGCCACCTTTCTTTGAGGAGAAAAATCATTTTCTTTATTTTATATGCTGAGCTAACATTATTTTCACGTATTAACAATCTCCAAATGTACTAGGAAATTTATCCGCTAAATCGAGATACCGTTAAATCAAAATTTTGAATATAAGAAATTTCACTTTTTTAATCTTGACAACCTGCATTACAAATGTTAATAAAAAAAAATAAAGAAAATTGATTATAAATTATGATGTTATAGTAGCATCCAATTTTTAGCCCGCATCATTCTCACAATGTTATATAGCTGTTTATTTGCACGTACATGAATTAACAATACGTTATTATAACATATTATCATACATTATATATAATAATATATTAAACTATTAATCGTGCGTTATTACGATGCAATTTATCTTATAAAAATTAGAATGGCCAAAAAGAGCAAGAATCATCTATCAACGAAGCAGAAGCATGTATTACTGCATATACATAATAATAAGTCAACTATTCATATCTGGTTTAGAGCAACAATTAGATTCCTATAATCTATGATTTGAGATGGGCTACAATACAAAAAACATTTATTATTGTTTCTTTAATTTCATTATAACCCCCGATATGGGTTTTTTCAAAAACAGCAAATCTCAGAATCAATGACTCTTTATTTGATCGGCTAACTAAATGAAAAAAAAGAATATTTATTTAAAGACGTGATTTTTCTTTCATCTTAAAATTATCTCATTACAAATGAGTAAGTTTCCAATGGGTCACAGAGTCATTCATTATATTGAGTTTCAATAAAATTTGTTCCGATAGCAATATCTGCCACTAATTAAATTTGTTTCTAATAACCAACTTTCTTTTATTTATTATTTTTTATTCAATGTCACTGTAATACATGTAGGGTCCGAATAACAACAACATGTAGTAAGAATTGTGGAGAATGCAATATGCATTGTAAATGTGGTAAATAAAAATTTTCTTTTTTTTCTTATTATCTGGCTGAGAAAACTGTCTCATACAAACGATATTCAATAAAATTTGTTCTGATAGCAATATCGGCTAGTAATTATATTTGTTTCTATTAACAAACTTGTTATTTTTTACTCAAGGTAACTGTAATGCTCCCGGTTGGACATTAGATCGGGGCGAAATTACATGTAAGAATAAATCAACTTGTAGAAATTGTTTAAAATGCAAATCCCATTGTGCATGCCCTCGTCCTGGTAAATAAAAATTTTCTTTTTTTTTTCTTATTATCTGACCGGAGAAAGTATTTCTTTGAATCTCAATGTGTTAAATCTCAAATTGACTCTGTGACTCAAAAAAAAATAAAAAATTGAACATACTTATCACATAATAATAAAAATACAAACACTTATTTCAACATGGGTTTTCTATAAACTTTTGTTGCATTCCACTCTGGCGTTTTGGTCAAGGAGCGGTTAGTAACTTTGACATTATCATTATTCTTTCATTTTTTTAATCACGCATTTCTTCCCATGACAAAATTTATTGGTCATACACAGAAAATAAGCTAACCTGATTGGCTCGTGTCAGTTCTAATTTATGATCATAATGCGCATTATGAAATGTTTCTTCGCTCTACAACAAAGTTAGAAGAAGCATAGTAATGTAAGAAAAATGTTACCCGAAACAAAGTTGACCAAGAGCACGATCTTGGATCAATATGAAAGTTCAAATAATTAAGCTGGCAATCTTTAGAGTTTTGAAATCCACTTATCGCCCAAATATCACAAACCAATAAAAATACTTTGAGCGTGCAAATAGACAGTATGTAACAAACGAGAGAGCCAATTACGCGAATATACAAAGGTCACATCCACCCGCACAAGCTTCCCAATTAACTGGAAAAGTATTAACGGATTCGATGTTATAATGATGTGATATATATCAAGAAGAGCATTTAGGATAGCGATAAATTAACAAATACAAGAATGACAATAGTTATTCCAAAGAGCCAGACACTTTCTTCCCTTTTGGGAGCTTTTCTTGTTTAGTAATATCCAAATAAGGGTAATTTTGTTGACTCAATATTGTTTATTAATTAATATGAATACAAAAAAATGCATGAAACATGAATTTATTTTGTTTGTGATTGATTGATTAAATATTCGTGTGCACTTAAACCATTAATCATGATACACTCCTTTCTACAAATTAACATTATCATGTTTAAGCTTACCTGTTCCAGAGAATTCCAAACTGCACAAAATATATATACACATGTATTTTCCATCAAGCATACTAGAATTTGTTTAATCGACTATCTCAATCACTACTGACACTTAATGCATGTAATCGGCACATAACTCGAAAGCGCAATCCATTGACCGAGATTGAAGCTAGTAATTAAAATCCTGGCATTGAGGTATTTTTGAGGAATGAGATTGTTAGGAAAAAAGCAATGCCAGAGTCTGAGTATATATTCCCACTTGAAAAACAGGAGCAATAATATATACTATGGAGAAAGGAACGCAAATATAAATTGTCGAGAAATCGCCACATTTTACATGTAACTATGAGAAAAAAAAATCCAGGAAGCTGTATGTATTATTAGTCTATGTTGTCAACAAGCAAAACCGTGAACTAGATGCGGCGATCAACATTTTTATGTCATACATACGTTTTACGTCAGATAATGAAAAAAGACCGTTGGTTGATTGTTTAATGATAAATTAAAAATTTGATGATGATGAGATTATATTTTGTGTGTGTGTGTGTGTGTGTATTTAAAAAAGTAATTAATTTTTTATTTAAACAAAAAAATATTTCAACAAAAAAAATATCAAGGAATAAAATGTCTACTGCAAACGAAAATAACAATCAAATGTATAATGAACGATTCTCGTTTTTTTTTCATTAATTATTTTTTTTTTTTTCAATTGACATGTTGTATTGTTAGTATCAAAGATCCTCAAGAACAAATAGTAAATCCTTGGAATGTTCGTGGAGCAATCATTGAGGGAGAACCGCAAGCAATTAATTATGACAAATTGATCGAACAATTTGGTACAAAATCAATCGAAAAAGATCTCTTGGAAAGATTTGAAACTTTAACGGGAAAAAAATGTCATGTGTTTTTAAGAAGAGGAGTATTCTTTTCGCATAGGTCCATATTTATTGTTACATTATGCTCTTTTATTGTTTACATATTATTATAATTATTTGTATTATCATTAGAGGACTAGAAATAATTTTGGATCGTTATGAACAAAAGAAACCATTTTTTCTTTATACAGGACGAGGTCCGAGCAGTACTTCTATGCATCTTGGACACATGATTCCATTTATTTTTTGCCAGTGTGTAACACTTTTTTTTCGATTTTTTTCGATTTTTTAAAATTACTCATTATAATATATTTATATAGATGGCTACAAGAAGTTTTTGATGTACCACTTGTCATTCAATTGACCGGTTAGTATTTTTTAAAAAAAAAACCATATATTATATGTTGCATGATATTATTAAATTTTTTTTTTTTTTACGTGATTTTTGTTGTTTTGTATTTTCCACAGATGATGAAAAATTTCTTTTTAGAGCAGACCTTACACTAGAAGATGCTAATAAATACGCATATGAAAATGCAAAAGATATTGTTGCTTGTGGATTTAAACTTGAAAAAACTTATATTTTCTCGAATCTTGACTCTATTAGGTTCGTCGTTACACTAAAAAAATGTTATCATCGTCGGCATCGTCATATTCATTATTCTGAAAAAATAATTTTTTTAGCGGTCCGTTTTATCGTAACATTGTAAGAATAGCAAAGTGTATCACAACCAGTCAATTGAAATCTACTTTTGGCTTCAATGATAGGTTAATAATATATTCTAAAATAATCAATCAATCCACCTTCCCCACATACATAATATTCATATAAAACAAAATCATTACTTACAAAATGCCTATTAAAATAGCGATAATATTGGAAAACTTCATTTTGCCGCGATTCAATCTGCACCTTCGTTTTCTAATACTTTTCCTCAAATATTTGGTACCGATAGTGATATTCCTTGTTTGATTCCCTGTGCTATTGATCAGGTTAGTATTGTTAGGATATATTTTCTTTTCTACATACAATATGATATAAATGATATTGATGGCATATACTTATATATATGTATATATATATTTTTTTTAAAAAGGAACCATATTTTCGTTTGACGCGTGATGTTGCACGTAAACTCAATTACCCAAAACCAAGTTTGATTCATGCTAAATTTTTCCCTGCTCTTCAGGTATATATATATTCATATATTTATTACAATATTTGATATTTTATTGAAAAAAAAAAAAATGTAGGGTTCTCAAACAAAAATGAGTGCTTCTGTTGATAATTCTGCAATTTTTATGACTGATACTCGAGACAAAATCCAGACAAAGGTATTTATTGTGATATATATATATACTGCTAACTGACTGACTTTTTAATTAGTAATAATAATTTTTTTTTCTTTTAACTAGATTAATAAATATGCCTTTTCTGGTGGTGGTGATACTTTAGAGCTTCATAAACTTCATGGCGGTAATCCTGATATAGACGTGGCGTATCAATATTTGCGCGTGTTCTTGAACAATGATGAAGAATTGGATAATCTATATAAAACTTATAAATCTGGTGAATTGATGACTAATGAATTGAAGGCTGTGTGTATTAAAGTAATACAAGAATTTGTTGGCGATTTTCAAAAGGTATTAATTAATATTAATATTAATATTAATATTAAAGGAATCAAAATAATGATTTTTTTTAAAAAAAAAAAAATACAGCGTAAATCAGAAATTAGTGACGAACTAGTACGTCAATTCATGGATTCCAATAGAAAAATCCACATTTAAATTTTCTTTTTTACAAAAATTATTGCTGTATAAAATAATATGTAAGATTGTTTGAATTAAAACCATTGTAAGAAAAATTATTGTAAAGGCTGATGCAACGTAGTACTTTTGATCAATCAAATATACAATACCAAGCACACCACTGCTTCCATTACTTAATGCCCCCAAACTTATAAAAACACCAAATAAAATTACAATAAGTTCACCTAAAAAATAAAAAATAAAATTTACTTTGCTTTGATATCTAAACAATTTGATTAGTAATATAGTAATAATAATTAATTGTTAATAATAACTTTAAGTTAATTAGATAATTAGATAAAGTAATTAATTAAATTACCTGTATCCATTATAGAGACTTAAATGACGAGCAAAGAAATCACCAATTGGTATTAATATTAAATAAATTACTGAAGCTGTAACCTCCCCTGCTATCGAGAATCCATCCAAATGAATTATTGCAAGTGTAACATTTGCAAAAATATGAGATAATAATGTAAAGAAATACACTTTAAAGAAAAAATCAATTGTTTTATTATTAGAATTATTTTTTTTCCAGCAAATCACACATCATGAAGAATTTGTTGATTATATTACATTTAAATAAAAAATACGATCTCTTTAAAAGTTGTTGTCCTCTTTTATCACTTATATCTACATCAATATCATGATAAATTATTGGATAACATGATGGCCTAATAATAATAGTAATAACATGGTAATGATATTAATATATATTAATGATGGTGAACTATAATTATTGGAATTACTGAAATTATTACCAATTATTATTTTCTACAACAAAAACATACGGACTGGGATTCATTTTATTTTATTATTTTCTCTTTGTTAACACGCGCGTTAGTTATAAAGGATTTCGATTGTGGCTTAAAATTGTTGTGCTATAAAAATATTCTGCAAAGCCACAAATTTTATTAATCTTGTTTGGGCACAGTTTTACGTAATTTAATATTACAGTCAGACCTCCATAAATGCACCTTCCATAAATACACACCCTCCATGCTCTGCACTGTGCGGTATCTTTTCAGTCCAATCTCATGAAAACTCTCTCCATAAATGCACCCCACGTGACCAATGTATAAAATTCATCATGTAACTAATATATATATAGATAGGATAAATTTCGGCAAAATTTTTTGATTTGATTGGGATTGGATAATTTCCAATATGTAATAATCCAATTGAATTTCATGACTTTGTGTCACTAAATGAACTTTTATCCTATTTGATAAAATGCAAATCAATGAATTTTGAATATCCCTAAGAAAATATTGTCTGTGAGGTTCCAGAGGATGATAAAATATTAAAGAACTTGCAGAAATATATAATAATAAAAAAAATGAATGTACCTGCTGACAATTTTGAGAAGATGAAAATAAGCCTCAAAGAAGCATTAAAGGCCTTGAAACTGTACGTGCGTTTTTATTACAGAAAGAAAATACTAACAAACAAATAAAATTGGTTAATATATATCATGTAAAAAATGTAAATTCATAAAAACGGATAGTATTAGTATTGTTGTATTTAAAATATTGTGTATCACGTGCAACCAATGAAAGCGCTCCTATCCATAAATGCACATTTCCATAGATGAATGTTGTCCTTCCGGGTGCATTTATGGAGGTATGACTGTATTTAGCATGGCGGACATTTGAATTGTCACATGTGACAAAATCGATTGTTGATTTTTATGATCAAATTCAATTAATTTAAAATAGAAACAAAAAATTATTTTTATATTAATATATAGTTAAAAATAATCCCATTAACCCCGCAAAATCTAAATGAGATCTAAAAATTTCGAAATTTCTATAATAATAAATTTTACAAGATTTATTATTTTCAGTCATTGGTTCATTAATATTACTATACATGAATGTCAAGAATTTTAAATTAATAGTTTTGGATAATATTTATTTATACATTTATCTATTAATAACGATAGTATTTAAAAATTTCATGTAATTTATTTTTGCGTGATAAAATCAAAATATGATCGATGAAAATCATTACCAATTATACAATCTCCGCTATCGACGGCGCGTTAAATTAAAAGTTATTAACTTTAAAACAGTAAATCTAGTGTAATTATAGTAATACCATAATAATATGAATCAAATTTTTTCTCCGATTTTTTTTTTTTAAAGAAAAAAAAATCAAAAAATGAAAAGTCATTTTTTTATTCTTTTATTTTTTTGTAATATAGATTTTGTTTTTTCACAAGATGATCAAAAAACTTATCCAAATAATGACCCTGTGGGCTATTATGTTTGTATAATAACAGCATTAATATTTACGCATTTAAACTTGCTAGGTAAAAAAATTAAATTAAAGTGATGATGAATTTTCAGAATATAAAATTAAAACAAAAAAATTTATTTGTTATTAGGTGTTCTTTATGTATTTTATTGGACTTTTATATATCAGAGAAAAGTAAAATCACTCTCAATGTCATTGAAGGTTCCATTTTATATCGCGTGTAGCAATTTCTTATTATTAACAGATGTATTTCCACAAGTTGTAAGTGCTATCTATAATAATAGCACTCATTACTTTTATTTACTAATAATACTAATAACAATTTCATTTGTTTGTTTGTTAAAATAAAAGTATCGTTTGACAATTTATCGTGAACTTTGGCCAGGACTTGCATGTGAAGTTTTTGGAGCGTTTATATTCTTATTTATGCTTTTGAATATTCTATTGGTAGTCGCGGTTTCAATAAACACTTATATAAGGTAAATTGAGTTGACTTTATTTAATTGATTTTTTTTTTTTTTTGCTAAAGTGAGGAGGCCTTGAAACCACGTTTATTTATATAATGCATCATTAAATATTTACAAATTTTTTACACGTAATTCTGCCCCAATTAACCTATTGTTAATTTAAAGCTAGCCTGTCACTTTTACTTAAAACAATTAAATAGACATATTTAAAATTATATATATATATATAAAAGATAACATGCTAAAGGCAAAAATTTTCCTAATTAGTACCAAAAATTATGAAATTCTGACATCATTCTTCCCATTTATCAGAATATATAGCATTCTGAAATTCTCACACCTATTTTTTTTTAATATATTTATAATAATAATGATGGTTTTATTTTTATACATTTTATAAAGAATATGTTTAAAGAAAAATCCAAGTTTAGGAAGATATGATTGGAAATTATTATTAACAGTATTGATAATAAGTCTAGCTATTGCAGCCACAGGTATTAAGAAGGTTGGTCCTGACACATTTTGGTAATTAATTATTATTATTAATTTTTACCCGTTACATCCTTTAATTTTTGTTTGATTACTTAATGTTAATTAATTCAATAGGTGTTCGTCTAGACCTATTAAAGGTGGTAATGCAATTTCTACAACCATCATCTTGGTAGTAGCCTTACTCACATCATCATTTTGCTATGGATGCATAATTTATAAAATTAATAGTATAGATCAAAAATTATTAAATGGTCAAAGACAAATAACAATACGTGCGCATGTATCTAAAAAAATAGCTGGCTATATTTTAATTTTTATTCTTCAGTAAGTAAAGGACAAATATTTAAAACTAATAAGTTTAAAAATCAATTTACATGTAATAATAATAATAATAATAATAATAATTTTAGATGGATTCCTACATTACCAAGATATCTTTATAAAATATATTCGCCAGATGCACCAACCTGGGCTTTTATTTTAATAAGTGGGTGGTGGTTCATCAAAAAATTTATATATAATGAATGTATTTTTATTTATATAATATATATAATACTAAATATATTATATCATTTAGTTATATCTGTAAATACTGGGGGTATCGGAAATGCTTGCCTCTACCACTATCAAGAAGCATTTAAAGACATAACCAATTCTTCATCAATGGAAGGTTCAGATACTACTACTAATAATAGTACACCATGAATATTTTCATATAATAAGGATAAAAAAAAAAAATATATGATAAGCAAATAATCTTTAACTTTTAAAAATGGTGAATTATCCGGTCAAAATCCCGGAGATTTACATCAGAGCAACTTATTTTGAAATAATAAAATAGGCTTTTCGGGATACAAATTAATAGTAATTTAGCCATTGTTTTTTGTAACAAAGTTATATATATTGAATTTTAATTTCATATTCCCAAAGTCAATCAAACTTGTACACTAAAATATTGATCATTTTAAATTTTCATTTCACTTTTCTAATCTTGATGCACTAGTAAAAAAGTTGCTCAAAATGCATAATTATGGGTTTTAACTCATCTTTTAACATTAGTATTTTTAAAAAATCTAGAATGTTTTTACGAACAAATTGGAAAAATCTCGCTAAGAACTGATGAAGTCACACGTATTCAAAAAAAGTGGCATTTGACAGTCATTCAATTTGGTTCATTGAAGGAAAACTTAGAATAAGACGAAGACTAAAAATAAAGATGAATTTTTTAATATATTAGAAGAAGAATGGTATAACCTAGATTTGAACTATTTAAATAGCATTCCATGTAAGTAAAGGATATCCTACTAGGTATTATAATTTTTCTGATCGTATTTTTTTTTGAATGCATGTGACTTCATCAGTTCTTAACTAGTTTGGATGAACTTTTTATTTTTTTAAATTTGTTCGTAGCTTTAAGAACCCAAATTTGTTTCTAATATATAAATATTTTCTCTGGCTAAAAAAACCCCCAATTGGAATCGCAATCTTCAACTTTTGGATGAATTAGATTTTTAAAAACTAATGTTAAGAAAATTCATAACTGTATATCAATATGTAGTGATTGTATCCGTCGATTATCTGGGTGTTTGAGTGCTTGGGCAATCAATAAAATCCAACGCTCGGATAATATGTGATTACTCGATTATTCACCGAATATCCGCCGAATGTTGGATTTGTAATTATCTCGTGAGCGTGAAATATAATTAGTTGTGGAAGAATTACCACCACGTATTTTTACGCTACAATTTACCACAACGTCAGGTGCTTTGGATATATTCATTTTACGTAGTGCATTTTTAGATATGGTTCAGTCACTATTAATAATCTCAATTGGATCCATGGATTTTTTGGAACCTCTTTTTCGATTGTATGGCCATGGTAAATTTCTTTTGGATGCAATTGTTATTACTTGATATATTATATTATCCGGTAAAAATCTTCAGCACCCGGATCAATCAAACAATAATCGGTGATGAGAAATTTTTTTAAATGATCGGCATTTAGCTACTTTGAAAATTTCATGTGACATCTGTATCCTGTAAATATAATTTTCTTTTTTTATTAATAAAATTGAAAAAAAAACAACTTCACATTATTGCTTGGGTCAAAAAATAAGTTTTTTTTTTGCAATTTTCCATATATTAATATGGCTTTCGATTCTTAGCCATAATTGGCAATTTTTGATGATATTATTTGGTAATACGTATGACTATAATTAGAATTGTTGCAGGTCACCCACCGAGCTTTCTGTTATATATTAATATATTATTAATATTGACTTTTTATTTAATTAATATATTTTGAGATGATTGAGATTATTTGTAATGATAGATTAGGTAAAAAAGTTCGTGTAAAATGCAAGTATGTATATAATAATATTAATGACAATATTAATATTAATAATGAACCTTAAATTTTAACTTCATCGTTGTTGTTTCATTGATGTTAATGTTTGGTTTTAGTCCAACAGACACGGTTGGTGAATTAAAGAAATTAATTTCAGCCCAAACTGGCACTGATCCTTCAAGAATTATTTTAAAAAAATGGTAAAGTAATTTTTTATTTATCATTGTTACTTTTAATAATTTATTAATAAATTATTTACAATTGTTGATGATTGTTTAGGTATACAACTTTTAAAAATCATATCACATTGGAAGATTGTAATTATCATCATTATTAATGATTTATGTTGATATGTTTACATATAATAATAATAATAATTTATTTTTATTTTTTAGATGAAATTAATGATGGAATGAATCTTGAATTGTATTATTCATAATTTTTTTATTGTTTACAAATTTATCATTAATTATTTTTTTCAAATTTAAAATAAAGATGATATTCATCTATAAATTATAAATCATAATGGTAAAATTCTTGAAACCATGCAAAGTTGCATCTGGTAAATATTCTGGATGATTGATTGTAAAAAACCTTGATGAAGGTACTATGAAATATTCTGTGGCCATCCTATAGCATATGGAATAGATTAAAAGTGACAAAACATATTGGTGCTAAAATATATTGCCAAATGTTTTAAAGTTGTACCTTTCAATTATAGTCATTTAATGCCAATCAGATATACCTTTGAATTGGATGATATCAAATGATTTGTTAATGATGAATGCTTCAAAGAACCAAATCAATGATTATCAACTAAAAAGCTTTAAAGAAAACTTTATAAACAAGATATAAATCAGGAAAGGCAAATGTTTTTTACTAAATTGAGATTTTAAAATTTTAATTTATTATCAAGTTCTCTTATACATATATATATTTATTTCATCTTTGTATAATCGATCTTTTATTAGTATTATTTGTTCTATTCATTTAAATGTAAATAGAATTATACATTAAAAATGTCATTATTAAAAGAATCAGATTTCTTTAAAGTGATCTTTGAATAGTTTTGAGCTGTAATATTTTCTTATTAAAAAAAATTTTTTATTTATATATGTTAGACCTTAAAATTATTTATTATTATAATGTTGTAAGTTAGAAAGAAAGAGAAAACAATTTTACCGGGTTGAACAAAGTTAAATACATTCTGCCAATTACGAAGCACATTACCGATAACTATATAATAATAATGAATGTTACATGCGTTTATATAAAAACACGTACACATGTAGTATGTATGTTGTAAATACCTTCACATCCTTCATTTAACTGTTGAATTTGTAAAGCCAATTGATCAAAATATTCTGCCAATTCTTCTGAAGTTTTCTTCATCTTTAATAAATTTTCATATTCTTTTTGTTTTTCTTGAATTCTAATATTGAGAAGTATTTGTTTGGCAGTAGGAATATCTTGTTTTTGTTGTTGTTGTAGATTTTTATTGTTATCATTAGTATCAGTAGTTATTGGTACAGATACCTGTTGAGAAAGTTGTTGAAAAGTTTTAAATGTATTGTTTGCTGACATTATAAAATTTTTTTTTTTAAATCTACGCGTTTTTATTAAAGTTTTGATATCTGATAAACCAAGGGACTGAATATCATGTGATTATATAACATATAGGAGGGCGTCCAAGCACAACATATATCCCAAGATTGGAATGCTCTTTGCCATAGGAACGAACAAGAGTGGTTGAAAAGCTCATAACACTAATTGGCAGCAATTATTAAGGTGTAGATATTATTCTCTTCAAAGAAAATGTCAATTCATTTGATAAATGTTGGAATGAGTTTGATAGTATAATATTATAATATTATATAATGTAAATTAAAAAAAAATTACAATTAAATCTAATTGAACAATATCCAATTTAGACAAAGGATCACTAATACTTTTTGAATAATATATAAAACACCTTGGATTTGGAAGGCTCTTGATGGTGGTGATACTTCTGCTAATGAATAGTTGCACAATTGTCAAATTATTCATTAAAAGTTCAATCATATGATTTTGAATTGTTCTTGAATTACATTCTGTAAAAATCTGGTGGATTATGTGCAAACAACAAAACAATCACATTTAAAAATTTAGCAATATCTCCTCACAACACTAGTTGTGAAAGGATATTTTTGGTTTTAGGATGATACATGAATAAGAGATGTACTAGATAATTATTTTGAATATCATATTTATATAAATAAAGTTATTTACTATTATTCATTTTCAGTCAAACTGTTCACTATGGCACATATGCATTCATGTTATGTTTCCAATACAAAAGATGAAATTAAAAATGTTTATCAAGAATTAAATGAAACAAGTAATAATTCAATCACACCTCCCTTTTGATATTTTGACTCAAATGATGATGATGATGATAATAATGATGACTGCATCTCAAATAAATCAAAATCATTTAGCATTTGAGGAATTAATAGATGTGGATGACCAGGAACTCTAATGTGTTTTAGAAATTGAAGTTTCTGTTGTATAAAGTTGTTGAAGATGGAAATCCAGAATTTGATATATAATCAATTGTAAACAATGTACAATCAAGAGGGATGTTAATGGTGATAATGAGTAATCTTTTTTTTTTATTAAAAATTTTGGATGTTATTAAAAAATTTTTTATTTTAAAGTATGTCCAAAGTAGTTTGGGATTTGGGCTAACTTGGGTGGTGGGTAGCATCTATAATTTCCATCATTAAAATAATTCAAGTTTTGGATTTTTTATTATTATTACATATCTCTTGGTAATATTTCTATTATTTTCAAAGTTTTCCCTTGTATCATTAAATGTATTACTGGTATCAAAAGCATTATCTTCAGCTTCTTCATAAAGTTACACAATATTAATTAAGAGGCATGAACTAATGAAAGAATGTAATATTATTCATCATTATGTGTGAAATTAATGATTACATAAATGCCAAAAAAAAAAAAGGAAAGAAAATGAATACACACAGAGCCTGTTTTCTGATGAAACTTTTATCCAAGTTTCAGGTAACAAATTGATGTATTCTATGAATTCTTTATTTTTAATTTATGATTAATGGAGAATGTGGACTTTATGGGTGAAGAATATAGATGCTGGTCGCAATTCTTGGTGATGGTTGCAACCATATTTGCAACATATAAAAATGGTTTGTGACACCTGGTTGCAACCACCTTTGCGACCACTTTGTTTCCTTTTTTGGATTGCAACATGGAACACTAGTGAAGAAGCCACAAGATGAACATTATTGTACAAATTGATCATATGCGAAAGAAGTGTCATGCTTGTCATTAGTATTATTAATTGAAAAGCTTGATACTCTCTAGAGCAGCTGGAAACTCTAGCACCATTACACATTTATGTAGATGAACAATAATTATAAAAAAATAAATGCAATTTTGTGTAAGAATTACTTTTCTTAACAAAAATAAAAACAATATTATAACACGTTTGTCGAACAGGTACTTTAATTATTGTAAAAATACAAGTTATCTTTATTATCTTAAAAATGATGTCCTTTATATAATAAAATTACATAGATTGATATGATATAAATAAAAATAAAAGATTGATAAAATATAAATAAAATAATCATAATAATTCTTATCAATCTATCCAGAAGATTTGTGGACATAGATAAGCAATAAATAATAATTAATTTTGTGTCACGTTTCCAGATGTAAATATTGATGTACTACACAAGACGTTGTATATGATTATATACAAAGTAAATTGTTACATTTTGTAACACCAAGATTGATGGTTAAACAGTTAATGATGCCAACCTCTAACCCAATAAGATTTTCATTGCTTGTGATGAAGCAGGCGAAGATTATTGACTATTTTCTTCTTTGACATATTTTAATTGTCACAGTAAAGTACAGTCAAACCCACAGTTCAACAAACTTTGTTTTCAGCATGAATTTTGGTTTTGGCCCCTTTTTTATTAATTAAAAAAGTCATTTTTCAAAAACCACATTACAACTTTGGTAGGATTTTCAATAGTTACATGATAGACAAAGTAATATAAAAATTTGGTTTAAAAATCCTAAATTTTTTATCAATCCACTGTAACAATTTACTTCATATATAATATCATGTACAACATTTGCGTAGTACAGCATAGTGGAAATTTGAAATGTTACACTAATTTTTTATATCGTGCAACGTAGCTTTACAATACACGGCAAACATTCTGGCAATAAAAAGTAAGTGATAAACTGGATTTGAATTGGATCTGAACTTGATCTCCAATTTAGAGAGGTAACAACTACAGTGAACCCTTGTTTCAACGAAGTATAATTAAATTTTTGATACAACGAATTTTTAAAAACGTTGTTACACATTATGAAAACATATAAAAATTCGTTGAAACACAATTAGTAACCTTGTTTCAACGAATGTTGAATAAAATTTTCTTATATGTCCAACCACTTCGTTGAAACAAGGGTTCACTGTATATACTGGCAAAGTTTCAGAAGCAATGGGTTCTGTATAGTGTTTCATGTAACAACAAACTTCCACTATGCTGCATAGTATATACATTATTAATATTTACATCTGGAGATGTGACACATAGTTGATATTATTGTTATTTGTAACATCAATTTATTTTGTGTCTTTAATTATTATTTATTATTTACTTATGTTCACAAATCTTCTGGATAGATTGATAAGAATTTATTATGACTATATTATTTATATTTTATCAATCTTTTATTATTATTTATATTATATCAATCTACAGTGTGTAATGAAAAAAATTGCCTTCACGAAAAACTGCATAACTCAACAATCACATGAAACAATTAAATGATACTATATTTATTAGAAAGTTTATCATGTACTTT